TATATATATATATATATATATATATATATATACGCATATTGTTAAAGTCACTGGAGAATTGCTCAAACAAATAATCTTTTAAAGTTATATATTTTTAATGATACATTCAAATGCAGAAAAGTTATATTTAAAATGGTTCACTAGAAAAAAAAAACTAAACAAAAAAATTTTTTAAAGATTGTAAAGCCAATCAAATGTCGTTATGTTAAAAAGTTTAGTTTTTTTCTTTTTTAATTTTGTCTGACAACTTTTGTTTTACTTTGATAGAAAAAACAAAAAACACGAAAAAAATTAGCATAAATTGACCGCGGGGTAATTATCACTGACGTTTAAAACCTTTAAAATACTTCAGCTTTTTTTGAATTCTTTCTCATTTTTTTTTTCTGTCTTTTGCAGTCAAAATGTTTTGCTGAATTTGAAGATAACTTTTTCTTTTTTAACCTACTTTTCTTTTTTTTTTTTGTTTATTCTTAGTCTTAATTAAATTCATTTATTCATTGACTTATTTATCCTTATTCAATTTAGGTGCTCTAATGAAGTTTTAGTAGGCTGGCGACATATTAACTGACAATAATACTGCAGTTTTGTATAGTTTGTTAAAAACATAAAATTTCTGACGTTTTTTACAGCATTTATAACAAAAAAAAAAAACGATGATTTGGTTGAAATGTAATATAAATGAAGAAAAGTTGGCTGCTTTAGTTGCAAATATTAACAATTGCAGTTGTAATCGGTCGTTATTCAATGCAATAAATACCTTGTAAAGAGTTACGGTTATATATAACTGTATTTTTTATACACTACTTAACATATGGTTTATCATATATAAAATGTATAAAATATATATCATTTTCTTTTCTTGGCTTATAATTTTTTTGGTAAACATATAGTAAAAATGATATCTTTGTTTAAAAGTTCAATTAATTGCAGCACAAAATTTTATTGTTGTTGTAAAATTTACAGTACCTATGTAAATGAAAAAGTTATATTAGTATCTGTCCTCCTGCTACCATACTTATTAACACTTTAAAAGACTTATTAATGCTTTACAGTTTTCAATGCTGACAACAAAATAATTATTATCAGAAAAAAAAACCATCTAACTTATTTCAGTAGTTCTGTTTCCTTTTTCTTCCCTTTTTTTTTTCTTTTAAAAATTTTTACCTTTTTATTTTATTGATACAGACAATTTTTCTCAGAGATACCTTAGAACAGTTTAATGTTGACGATAATTATTAATTTTTCAGCATTGATATTTTGCATCACAAATTGCTAATTGCATACATAACGATAGGTTTCTTTGTTTTGCAGTTAATTTAGGTATAAAAACAACAACAAATAAAGCATTAGTTATGGATTATCATTAATTAATTGTTTATGGTTAACATATCTTCTGTTTTTTTTCCCTTTTTCTCCCCCCCCCCTCCCAACTTATCTTTTCCTCTTTATTTACAATATCCTCTTTTTTTTT